TTCTCTTAATGGCATAATCGAGCTCTGCAAAAAATAGTTGGTTTGTGTCTTCGTATAAAATTCGTAATAATTATTAACTATACTTGGTCTAAAATACTTACTTCTTCAGCTTGCTTGTAAGGGCGAAGTTAATTCGGCTGTTAATTTAGTTTAGCTGAATTTCATGTGTAAATAAAAGGAAATAAATAAATAAGTAGCCACAGACTGTGTTCAAATGGCTGTTTGCTACGAACTACAAGTGCATTTTAACACCACTTCGCCTTGATTGAACAAACTTAATGTTAAAATAGATGCTGAAAAATCTACGCAAAAGCGATCTTCACTCGATAACGATTCTTTTTCTTTATAATTCTTGAATGGCAATAACGTCCCAATCAAAAATTATGTAAGATATCTTGTAACATTGTTAACGCCATGTGATTCCTTCGCAATACAATTTTCATAATTACCTGCTTATGTATGGTGTTAACTAGATTTCATTTTCGAGTTTGGCATTTTTAACTGCACAAGAGGTGGCAGAAACGCCAGTTTGTTTGGTTGTTTCGAGGCGAATAATAATTCCGAATAAATTTGTTAACTTACAATCAACTGAACCAAAACTAAAGTTTGAAATTTGTGAAAAGTAAATAAATCGATACCTTTTTTCTTGTTTTGCTTTATTACTTCTATTATTACCTTCAATTCCCTAACGCTTGTAATCAACTGTGTATCATCAGTCTTTCCATATCATTAATGAAGCGCAAAGCAGCAACAAACAATAACAATTCATCACTCGACTGGATATGTTGGTCTTAACGCCAACTGGCCTAATCCATTTTAGTAGACAAACATAAAAAAGGCAAGTGTTGAATTAGAAATTAACAACTTTGGTAAACTGTCCATAATCGATTGTTCAAGTGGTTTTCCCTTGTAACAAATTTGACATACAATGAACAATTTTGATTTGAATTCTCATAATAAAAAATCATTGGATGTTTGATCAAGAAAAAAATATGTTCAAAGTTGAATACAACTAAAGTATAATACGACAAGCAAACAACAGTAAGTAAAATGCTATTGAATAATCAAGTAATCTTGAGAAACATATACACTTCAAGCGGAATCGTCCCTTCTTTATATTATGTTATATGACAGCAGAGGAACATCGACATTGGTGGAAATCATCTTATGTTATGCGAAAATCGCTTCAAATCATCTTACGTTATCCGAAAATATGTAATTAAATGGTTTTATATACTTGCCAACAATATAAATTAAAATATACGTATTATTTTATGTAGATTTCTGCAAAAGTTACGCGGGCCAAAAGATACTTTTCTTTCGTTTTAGGAAAAATTGGTGAGAATGATGGCAAAAGAAGAACCCACATGCCTCTATTGGTCCCTTTAGCCGTTACTCTGGAGTTGGTGAAGTTTGGAAGCTATCAGCAGCTGGCGGGCAGCAATCTTCACTTAAGTGTCGCATACAGCGCCATTTTCATCAGATTTCATCAGATCAAAAAAAAACCTTTGCGCGGAATGGTTTCGGTGGGGCTAATGCCAACATAGTGGTCTTTAGACCACTTAGATTTCGTGATGTTAAGTAACTTCTTGTGATTTTCTTGTTCTTGTGACAGTAAACATGATAGAAGTTTTCCTGATATTTATTGAAGTGGCCGGATGAGTAGACGGAACACATATTTATTTTCGTAAGCCCCCATAAATGAGTGTATTTTGCAATGTCCATGGCGTACTTTAATAGCAGAACAGAAAGGCACAGACGGTCCAAGAAAGACGAGAAAATTTGCAAATGTTTCTGCAACCCTTCGCAACATTCGCCTGCACTGTAGACTGCAAAACCCAGAAATTCAGTATTTAACTTCTGCATTTCCCACATCTTATAGAGAGAGACGAATAGTTGACAAAATAAGAACCGCCATATACTCTGCGCTTTCAAACTGAATTACAAAATATAAACAATAAATCCACTTTGTTTTGTGAAAATCAAAAAGTTCTCTCTTATTTATATAAAACAAGGATTGATTTGCGATTCGTTCCAAAACACTATACAATTCTTAAAGGTATGTTCATATGTTAATATAGTAATGTAAATAAAGTGATATATATTCAAAGTTCAAACCCGAATTTAAAGTTACCCTAAGCAATAAAAATATGAAATTATATGAATTATATAAACTTATTTCACTGCATTTCATTTCATCACAAACTTTCCATAGTTCTTGATTGTATCATTGTACGCAAACAAACGTGAAATTTACCCCTTTTTCTCTCATTTTCGAAATAAATTTCGAAAGACGAAAACCATATACAACTGTAATACAAATGGTTTTCAAAGCACAGATGGTTCACTAAAGGCAGGGCACTAATTACGTATGCCATTAGCTAGATTTTATTTTCAACTTTTCTTGCTAAAAGTTTTCACGAAAAGTGCGAGAAATGCTCTTCCATATCTGCCAAATCAGCCATCAGCAAACGCTCCACGAAATAAATAAAATCATAAATAAACGTTTAAAAAATTGTTAATTTGATTTATTTTATTTGTTTACGTTATGAATACGTCGATGTATATATAAATATAAAAATCCCACAAGAATATTTTGAGATTAAAAACAACTTCTTGCCAAATATGCCTTGTCAGTATAGTAAAATATAAAATAGAAAAATTTGTCTTCTATTAGTTATAAAGGTAAAATTTGTCCCTGTTTATTTCTTCGGAATAAATTTTGAATGACAAAAACCATACGTAATTCACATCCAAGTGGTGTTCCAGGTAAGCCACCCAAATGAGAGCAATTTAATTAAAAATTACGTAATTAGAGCCTTGCATTTTCCGTATGTTAAATATCTAATGCATTTATTCAGTTATTTATAACTCCAGTAACTTAATTAATTCCATATACCTACATAATTTTACTTTTGCAACTATATGGTTTATTTTTATATGTCTTTAAAGTCTATTTTCAACCAACATCTTTTTTGGTTATTAATTCTCGCAGTTAAAATAATACTAGCATAACTAGCGTATAATGTCATAGTAAATAAAGACCAAATTTTGAAAAATAAATCACGGTTGGATTGGGATCATGTATATGATAGCTTTCAGCTTCAAGGATTATCTTGATGACTATCGTATTTTTGGCATCGCTTATGAACAAAAGCTGTCAAATACACTCTCTCATACTTGTCAAATTACGTGAACGCCAAAGAGCCCATGTTTTGCGCTAGTTTGTTATGAGTTCCACTTATAAAAGATAACAGTTGAAAATAGAAAAGAAGATACATTCTATGCAAAAACCTGAAACTTAGGAGGGATCACCTCCCGCATCAATAAAGTTACCTAACGGATGTGGTAACACCCAAACATGTAGTAGAGCCAAGTTATCAAACCTTTTTTGCTTAATTTTATAATTATTTCCTTATGTTTAATTACTCCCATTGACTTCCACTTTTCTTGTTTTTTTTTTTTTTTTTTGCTTTCGGGCTTTAAATTTTTTTTTCTTGATTACGCTTTACTTACAAATTTGAAAGATAGTTTTTGTGTGTGAGACATCTTTTTTTTTCTCACAATCTCTCAAATAAAATCAATGTTCAACGAGTGGTTATCTAGAGCACTAGCTCCATTTCCGTCTCGTCTTTTAAAGTATTAGTTCCGACTGAACATATAGAAACTTTGCTAAACAAACCATTGTGGCCAGTTGTATTCTTAATTAAGGAATTCATTTCGAGAGATCGACTATTTTGGTAGTTCTTCAACCCATAAAAAACTAAATCTTTCCTCAGGGCCAGTAACTTTCATTTGTTAATAAATGATTTGAATGTTAAGTCCCTAAACTCAAAAATTCGCTCTACTTTCCGAAGTTCAGTGAGAACGGAGTTTTCCTGTTTGGCCCTCCTTATGAAAATAGGATTTCGTAGTTACGAAACTGCTTGAGCCTATTTGGAAAAAACTTTTTTTTCGAATTTTTATAGAACAGCATAAATTTCGAAAAACATGTATCAAAACCGCTTTTTCATTTTTATTATATTACATTTAGACGCACTTAATCTCATACGAATTTGTTTGCGTATTCCGCTTTATTTTGCACTTTTCCAAATTCCGCACATTCCTTTATAATCATTTTAAATTATGTCACACACATTTTATAAAGCATTATGGCTTTGTTTTCACTGTTCAAATCAAAAAAAATGGAAACAAATATAACAAAAGAAGTATTGCAAGGTACCGGAATGTTTTTGCACATGTTTTTGTAATGTATCCAGAAAATCACTTTTTTAAGGACATACAAATTTAGTGACAAAAATATGGAAACTTAAATTTTGATGTCGTTATTCAATGCATAATAAATAATAAAAACATTACATTTTATTTGATTAAAAACGGTACTGCACGTATTTCTTAACGTAAGGCAGAAAACTTACTCTATGAAAGCCTGCGCTCGATCACTCTTCCAGTTGTTTAACGACCCCATCATCTTTTTGCTCCACTCTAAGCAACACTAGGAAATGCTTCAAGCCAAAAAAAAAAACAAATGGTATCAACTAACTTGATTCGTTAAATGTTGTCGAGATAAAAAAGCTACATGCTACAGAGCGTGAATTAGAGAATTGGAGTGAAAAAAATTATTATGCTTGTCCCCCAAAGATTTAAAATTGGTGTTTTTGGTACAACTATTTGTAGATATTTTGAACTTTTATCGTTTTCCATTTACGGCTGTTTTTTATTATAAATACAACTTTAACCAAGCAATACCAATTCTGAAAATAACGCAAAACATTAGCTATTTTGCTCTCACGAGATTTGGCAGCTATCGGGGAGTATACCTCCCAATCATTGCCAATCAAATTGCTGTAAATTAAACCTAGCTATCGCCATAAATTGCTTATATATGTGATGCTGGTGTGGTATTCTTGAATCTGGCAACGTTGCAGTAATATTTACAGTGCTTGCTTAATTCAAAAGGCGTAAAAAATCTGCATCAATGGATTGGTTTCAATTCGTAATGCATACAATATAAAAAAAGCGATATCTTTACGAATGTGGTCGCTTGAGTATAAAATTTTATTCAATATATTTAAAAAGAGTAGTGTTTCAGGAAGGATTTAATTGAAGTTAAAAGTTATTGTGGATGAATATATATTGGAACAATTGTAAAAAGAGAAATTTTAAGCATTTACTAGAACGGGAAAAAATGTCTACATAATAGAACATAAATACAAACATATATATAATACGTAAATATGCGTGTGGAAGGACGAAAAAACAAAAAAGACCTTTAAACGATTGTAGTTTACGCGGCGGTCTTTGGAACACAACGCCTTCAAAAACATTTGTATCTTCGCGGCCAATTGAGGGTAAGCAAAATTGTTATAAGCTTGTAAAACGGTATTGATAAGTTATTGTAAAGAATATTAAAGTTTGAAGGCAATTGCAGACAACTTTGGTAGCTATTCAACCATAAGGTCCTTCAAAATAGCGATGGTAGACACGCAGAATGCACTTGCTCTACGTAAACAGAGTGTATGTGCAAAAAACAGGGAAATTGGAGCATATACCATTAACGACTATCATCGAGACGAAGCCTCGTTTTAGAGCTGTTTTACTTATTTATATACTCGCCATTGAAGAAAGAGGTAGTAATTCAGCTTTACCTTATATTGAGTTTTTATTTGCATAAAAAACTGCTCACATTTTGTAAATCGTTAATATAATTAAATTACTATGAACGCCAACGAAAGAATAGCCTAGGTTATAGCAATACTCGAAGGCGCTTTCTGTACATGTGTCGAAAATTTATTTTGTTAACGAAAAATTTGCAATAACTAGAAAGTTGCTTAATAGAAATCACAAAGTCTATAATAGGTCTTAACAAGAATCGAATTCTGAATCGATCGAGGCATGTTTGTCTCTCTCAAAAATTATAAATCGTACGGATTATCAATCCGCTTATTAGATTTTAGTCAATTAAACTGCATTCTTCTAATCATTTAAATTTTGTGTCAACACTGTATAATAATATTGGAAGGAAGTTATATTTAAAACATCTATGACTTATTCACAAGTTTATTGGTTTTATATGGTGTGGTTACGGAGCATAAAGATTGCTTTGAATTCAGTTCTTTCAGCTATGGTTGATTTTATAAATCCGTAGATCAACCTTCTGCCAAAATAATATCGGGAAGTGTCGTTCAAAAATACCCACTTTTTAATTTACATGTTCGCCTCCGAGTTTCAATTCTTTCTTCGATTTGTTGTCAAATCAATGATTTTGAATCGCCATCCATATATTTTAACCTATTTTGTTAAAAGATTTATAGTAGAATTTAATTTTCCTATCTAGGTTTTCTGTGAAATTAAATTCTTTTGGAATGAAGCGAGCTCAAACGTTTACCTTAAAAAAAAGTTTTGCTAAGATTATTGATTTGACATTCAGCAGGACAAGAGTTTAAATATGTCATTGTCACCTTGGAACGTCTCTATATCTCGTCTTCGAAATCGGCATTTCTTAGTCTATTATTTTTTGTCTATGCCGAATATAATAAAAACAACTCTTTCAATAGCCTTAAGACGAATGCTCTCATTTAGGCTACGTGGTGTAATATATATAAAATTAGCAAGTCAAAACATTGTAGCGGGGCTTTTTACCGCCTATTAAATAGACTACACCAGCCTACAGTTATTCAAACATCTCATAATAAACTTTTATAAGGGGATTTAGAAAAGTGCTTGAACCTTTCGTTCATAGGCCAAAATATGTCGATGTACTGCGAAAGCCTGTCTGTATTGTTGCGAAATCGAAACAAATAAAATCTGTCAAAGGCCTGTGCCGGAATGTGAAAAAGTATTGAAAATGGTGAATCGAAAATATCTGGCGTACTTTGTAATGGCAGCATAAATGATGTAAATATCTTGTGATGTTCAGGATTTTGGTTTAAATGTTTCTCAAATTTATTGGCTCAGTCCATCTTCTCTCAACAACCCAAAAAAAAAAAATGTTTCTCATATATTTTAAGAAAATTTTGTACAGTAAGTTTTAAATAAAAATAAGAATATTGAAAAAAAATTGCATTCAAATTTTTTTCTGTTCTACATAGATGTACAGTATTATTCCAAAGAGCATCGCCCCTTCTTTATGATGTATGTCAATACTGGTATTCTTAATGTTTTTCATGAGCACAAGAAGATATTCTTGAAAAACATACGTGCAAAATATATTGTGAATTAAAGTAAAGATATTTAAATTATAACTAGTAGCTTTCAACTTATTAATCTGCTATTTGTTAACAAACTGTTGAGGCCATGAGAAATAGGCGACCAAAACACGAGGAGAGATAGACTAAAACTTTGAACAAATTGCTTTCTTCTGTAAATAGATCAACGGGAATGTAGATACGTTGCACTTAATACAATGCACTGTTAAGGGCATAATATTCAGACGTACGTTTTCCGTATTTTTGTATATCGACAATAGAGTTTAGTTTACTAACCGATAAGACGAGTCGTAATTCTAGTAAACAAATCTCTGTGTCTACCTTTTCTGCCGGCTGTGAGTGAGTCAAGTTAAGTTTCTACTTTAAAATATATAATTTTGGAGTTACTAACATTTAAGGAAGCAGTTTCAGTATGTTTATTTTAATTGCTCTTAGGCTTGGCCGCAGCACGTCGCCCTGTGCTTTTTCTGAATGCAAAGACATTTATTTGTATAAATTTTTTGTTTTTGAAAAGTAACATATAGGATAGTGCTTAATTCCTTTCTATTTGCTCACCTTTCGCTCCCTTTGGAACTTCTGTTAACATCTCGTGGAATTGAATTTCAATTTTTATCAAATCTGCTGAATGTTGTAATATTTTTGTACGCATCATTTCCGAAGGTTGGCTTGCAAATGAGTTTACTGTCTCTCGCATCCAATTGACACACTGAAAGTGAACGTCTAAGATATTCTTATGTGTTTCTTCTTCGTAATCATTAAAAATAGAGTCCAAACCAGTTTTAGTTTACAATTGATCTTATTCAATTAAACTCTCGTCGTTCTCATAAAAATCAATATTTTTGAAATCTTCAAGCTATACACATGTACATTAAATGAATTTTTTATTTCGGATTCGAATTCGCACCAATTGAACTGCGTGCGGCAATAACTATATGCCTCCGAAGGATGGTTCCGGATTTCAAGATTATATTTTTAAACATATGAATATGCACTTAGTAACAGTTTTATTAACCTCTTATATTTTCTTCCGTATCAAAAGAATTGTTAAAAACATAATTTTTTAGATTATTACACTAAAAGCAAACCGTTTCGAAGGAGCGTTGCAAAATCAGAGAAGCGACAGCAGATAACCTAATCGTACAGATGGCAGATGAAATAAGTAGAATAAACCAACGATTTCAACGGGAAGTTAGTAACATTACTATTTTTTTAAAAATTGAAAATTGGATTTAAAAGTACATTGAGATGACAAACAGTGTGATAACGTTTATACTTTCTGTAAATTACACAAATAAGTTTTCAAACCGCTATATACAATGCTAATCACTTCCGTAACACGGACATTTTTCTTCATTGAAATTTTAACGAGCTTCTTATATCAAAGATTCATTTTACAGCTGTTAACACTCCTGATGGTAGAGTGCAGGCTGTGATTAGTGAAATCTACTGTTAAATACGAAACCTCGAATGTTTTCGGAAAATTTTTCTACAAACTCCTTTTGCTCCTAGCTATTCTGTTTCCCGGGGGGCTCATTGGATTTATTATCTGGGGAAATTTCGCAATGGAATGTCTCCTGCGAACTACAAATTTATCTCAACAAAAACTTTGATTTGGCTGAATAAATGCAATGTTGAAATAAATGCTGAAAAATCTACGCACTTTTATACTAAATAAGGGTTCTTGCCCTTCACTGTTTAACAATGTCCATCAACAACTGTGTAAAATATCTTGGATGTAATGAGAAAAGTTCAAAAAAAAATCGTATGAAAGTTAAACTCCAACGACTGGACTTAAAAGCCTTATTAGTTAATTCGCCTAGAATCTTAGTCTAAAAAATGAATGCGTTATAAGCAAGAGTATGGTTCAACCTATTTGGACCTGTGGCATAGGAATATGGGGAGCAACTCTAATATTGAAATATTCCAAAAATATCAATCTCCGCCTTATTGTTGACGTCTCATGAATCGTTATCAGCAAAACTCGTGTTCATATGTTAAAAAGCTGTTTCAAAGCCTTTTCCAAAATATCTTGACAATTCCAATGAATGCAATCTGATAAGATTGAAAGAAGAATTAGTTTGTTTCTACTCCTTTAATTTATTTATTGAATTTTCTTTGTAGATTCCTTTTCGTTTAACCATGTCTGTATTGTTATGTTGTTACCATCGGGAGGTAATAATCTCTATATTCTGATCTTGCAATAACATGCTTATTATATTGTAGGATAGGTTGTTAGTCAAATATGTAACAATATATATTGCAACACTTAAAACCGGATCTCATTTTGACATCACATGTTTCCCGACTTGGACAAGGAGTCCTGGACTAAGCTGAACATAGATGGAGTAGATTTAGTACCTAGGTAGCACACAAAACTAACAGGTGTGAAGCATCCCTGCTTTGTTTTTAGCCGAAATGTAGCAAATTTGGATGTACAAAAATAATGGAAGTCGAAAGAGTGGCTTCAGGCTTTCTGTGTATAGTTTTGTTAGACCTTCCGTTTCGTCTTTCTTTACAGGGGACAACGAAACCTGACGTGTCGCGGAGTTTTCTTTCTTTTGAACTTAACCTAGTCAAGGTAACGGTTCGAATCTACGGTAAAATCTTAAAATCTGATTAATGTCGTTTGCTGGAGATAAATCGTTACCGTGTTATTATGAAATCATCAGTGGAAATTCTTTAATTTATGACGGCGTGAGGCGAATACTTCAACTTATTGCCAATTTAGTCCCACAAAACCCAAATGTTTTCTGAAGGAATCACGAGATTGTAAAATATTTTTCGCGAATGAATCATAGGAAATTCATAACAAAAAAAAATCATGTTTAATTGCTTACGGAGATCGCGAAATGGAAAAAGCAGAAGAAAATGACATTTAAAAGAATGAACATTTTCTTTTGTACATGCTGCATCATAAATATGAGCAATCAAACATATATAAAATATTAAAACAAAGTATGCAAAGACGAAACACCAAACAGAAATAACTCGCATAAGTAATCAAAAGATATATAGTCATAATTTATATAAAACAAAATTATCAAATAATGCTACAGCACATGAACTGACGCGAGTAGGCACAATTGCTAGTAGAGTGTCAAAATTTTCTCATAAGAATTCAAGTACTAGTAATCAATGTGTAATTTTTTCACTTTATGCTTGTTAATCTCCATATTATACTGGTCAAAGCGAAGGAAGAAAATTCAAAGGCATTAAGCGTAACTAAAAAAAAAAGAATCGTCTAAATTTTTGTACAATAGTAACTTTAAAAAGTGGAAAGGAATCTTCAACTGAGAAGTAGAAATTGTCAGAAAATACATATTCTTGAAAAAAAGGCAAGTAGAACAAAAGTGAATCGAAATATTCGGATAGTGGGTCAAAAAAATGAGCGTTGATTCCAAGCAGAGGAATTACATTTACTA